GACTGGGCAGTGTGGTGTTCTGGTGGGTACAGGGTCTCTATGGTACAATGGGTTACGCCGTGGACTGCTAGTTTGAAAGCACCAGCTTCACAGGACAAAGATGTGGCTTCTCCTCCCATAAAGATTTACAGCCTTGGAAACCCATCGACTATTCTAGCCTGCCCTATGAAGTCGCTCGGAGTCGTTATCTACTGGCTGGCAGTGAGTTTGGGGAGAAGGACTAGGGCTGTCCCTAAAGTTATCTTCGTTATGTTAATGAGACCAGTGTAGGGTGTGTCTGAACCGTATCATTTCTGAGAATTAAGGAGCAGCAGAAATGATGGCAAGCAAGCAGGGGATGCTAAGTCCCACGGGAAGATCGCCAAGGAAGTGAGGGCTGGGATCTTCCCTCAGAGTTCACAGAGCGAGAACCCTCCTCTGGAACTCGTGCCCCAGTGTGTACTTTGAGATTCTGGAAGTGTGTGTGTGAAAGAGAGAGAGAGATTGATCTTCTCTGAAAGCCATTCATTGAGGGTAGGTATGAGAGTATTGAAGAGCAAGGATGCTACTTTGAGGACTGAGGTGTGCCTGACCCAAGCCATGGTATTGTCCATTGCCTCATACGCATGTGAGAGTTGGACATTGAATAAGGAAGGGAGCAGAGGAATCAATGCATTTGACTTGAGGTGCTGGGAGAGAATATTGGAAGTACCATGGACGGCTAAAAGGACAAACCAATCTGTGTTGGAAGATGTAAGACCAGAGTGCTCCTTAGAGGCAAGAATGGCAAGGCTTCATCTGACAGACTTTGGACATCTTGTCAGGAGAGGCCAGTCCCTGCAGAAGGACTCATGTTTGGTAAAGTTGAAGAGTGGCGAAAAAGAGGCAGGCCCTCAGTGAGCTGGATTGGCACAGTGGCTGCATCCATGGGCTCAGGCATGGGAACAATTGTGAGGATGGCGCGGGACTGTGCAGTGTTTCTGTTGTCACTCTGGTCGCTATGGGTCTGAGTTGACTTGATGGAACCTAGCCATAACAACATGTCTGTAAGGGCCCCACTAAAGGAGGAAGCAAGAGAGGCTGAATGGGTGAACAAGGAGCAAACGGATCTTGGCCATCAAGTCCGTTTACAGGGTCACATTAGTCCTGGCACTCCTCCCATCAAAGTTATTGCACATCTGGTGAGCCCAGAGCATGAAAACTGATACAGATAAGCGCTCACAACACAGGGAATCCAGGACAGGCAAACCCCTCAGGAACAGTAATGGGAGCAGTGATACCAGGAGGGGAAGGGGAAGGGGAAAGTGCGGGGAGAAAGGGGGAACTGATCACAATGATGTACATATAACCCCCACCCCTACCCCCATCCCCCGGGGGGATGAACAACAGAAAAATGGGTGAAGGGAAACAGTGGACGATATAAGATATGAAGATAATAATAATTTATAATTTATCACCACTTCATGAGAGAGGGAGGGTGGGGGAAGGAGGGGAAAATGAGGAGCTGATACCAAGGGCTCAAGTAGAAAGAAAATGTTTTGAAAATGATGATGGCAACATATGTACAAAAGTGCTTGACACAATGGATGGCTGTATGGATTGTGATAAGAGCTGTGAGAGCTCCCAATAAAATGATTTTTTTAAAAACCAAACTCATTGCAATCAAGTGGATTAAGCACTGGCAGCCCCAGGCTGTGTTGCTCACGGTGAGGCTGCAGGCTCCACCCTCTCTCCCAGCCATTCCTTCTATAGCTACTCACACCCTGCTACCCTGCTGGCAGCAGTGCCACTGCGGGGGAGGGGGTGGTGGTGGTTCTGGGCTCTGAGTGGTGTCAGCTTTGTTGTTGCTCCGGGCATAGAGTGGGGGAAGCCTGCGATTGGAAGGTAAGGCGAGCAGGGGGAGGGCTGGAGAGGTTGTTCTTTGATGGATTTCTTGGGCTTTGAGAGCAGAGGCACTGGGGATAGAAGGTGGGGGCGTCGAGGAAGTGGGGAAGCCAAGGTCCAGGAGTGCATAGTGGCCTGGCCATTGGGCCCTTTGGTCCAGAATCCTCTCCTAGAAGTCCTACTGCAATCCCTACATTTTCTGTTGCAGTCCACAGAGACCGAGGTTGTTCGGCTCCGTGGGAAAAATGAAACTGAAAGCAAACCTTGGCAGTTGCTGGGGCCTTTTCCTCCTCTGATATTTGAGGCCGGCTTTCCTCCTCCAAGTGTTTCTGCTTCCTTACCACAGCCTGCCTTACGCAGTCTGTCCACACGTTCGTATCAAACAATTCGTTGCTCAGAGGCCCAGAGAGAGTGCTGATTTTTTGCCATTGATGAGACCTCTGAAGGTGGTGGCTTGGAGACTGTCAGATGGGTAAAATTGGCTGGGACACAATTTGTGCGTTTTGTAGCAGATGCAATTATTTAGACTACAAGGTCAACATGAGGGGCTATCTGATGTTCAGAGTGGGTCGCTAGCACTCAGATTGGAATGAGAGTAGTTGGACTACGTTGAGCCCACGGTTCCCTGTTTGTGTAGTATCTGTATGTAAAGGAGCCCTGGTGGGGTGATGTTTATGTATTGGGCTGCGATCTGCATGGCTGGCAGTTTGAAACCACCAGCAGCTCTGTGGGAGAAAGACTGGGCTTTCCTTAAACAGTTCGTCTCAGAAACCCACAGGGCTCACTATGAGTCAGCATTGACTGGACGGCAATGAGGTTTTTTGTTGTTGTTGCTTGTTTATGCACATGGGTGAGAACAGAATTAGTTAATTTTAAAAATTTTTTATTAAAAATGTAATAAACTCTGTTATTTATTGAGGGTCAAATACTTGCCACACATGGAACTATTGGGTACTCCACCCATGTGACTTAATTTATTCTGACCAAATTTAAAAGTATAGAAAATCAGTATCTAAAGTGACGATCTAAGAGCAGCAATCAGGAAGTAACAGCACGAAACCTAAGTGTTACCTAAGCAAGAGTCAGCAGAAGGCATTGGAAGTGAGCCAATTTCCTGGTCATAGAAGAAATGCAAATTGACACAAACCAGAAAATACCTTTCACCTCCTAAGTGAAGTGTGTTTTTCTTGTTTTTTTCCCTTCCTTTTTAAAGAGGCTGTTTACTTCTAGTAAGAGAAAGCCTTGGGTGGCAAAACAGTTGATGCGCTCAGCTGCTAGCCAAAGCTGGCAGTTTGGGTCCACAGGGCAATGTCTAGGAAGAAAGGTGTGGCAACTTGCTGCTGTAAATTCACCCCATGAACCCCCCAAGGAATACAGCTCCACTCTGACATCCGTGGAATCCACCAGAGATCAGCTCGTTAACCCATAGACGACAGAACAAGGAATGACTGGGGCTGGCACGGAGACCGTCCTCAAGGCCGGGTCCCAGTCCACCCTCCTGTTCAACTAGCCTCCCGTCCACCTGCAGTGTGGTCTTGGAATCAGTCGTGTGGCCTGAACGTGGTAGGGACATATTATAAGTAAAGAACAAGTCTTTTCTGACCCAAACTTCTCCCAGATGTCAGGCTTAAAACAGCATCATAGTACAAGGTGTTCAGAGAGGTTAAGAAAGATACTGAAGATTACATAGCCGTCCTTATATGGAACATCTACATGAGCCAAGAGTCAATTGGATGAGCAGAACAAGGGAACAATGCCTGGTTTAAAATCAGGGAAGATGTGTGTCAGGATTGTATCCTCTCAACATACGTATCCAAGTTGTACGCTGAGCAAATATTCCAAGAAGCTGGATCCTGTGAAGAAGAGTGTGGCATCAGAATTGAAGGAAGACTTGTTAACATCCTGGGATGTGCAGATAACACCACCTTGCTTGTTGGAAGTGAGGAGGACGTGAAGCACTTGCTGTTGAAGATCAAGGCTTGCAACCTTCGGTATGGATTGCAACTCAGTGTAAAGAACATAAAAATCCCCACACATGGTCTGATAGGTCGTATCATGATAAATGGAGAAAAGTTTGAAGTTGCCAAGGATGCCATCTTGCTTGGCTCCCCAATCAATGCTCAGGGAAGCAGCAGGCCAGAGAGATCAAATAGGATCTTGCTTTGGGTAAATCTGCTGCACAAGTGTGGGAAAGCAAGGAGATCACTTTGAGGACCACAGTGTGCCTGATCCAAGCTATTGGTAGTTCCAGTGGTCTCATGTGCATGTGAAAGTTGGACAATAAATAAGAAACCCAGCAGAAAAATTGATGCCTTTGAATTATGGCATTGGTGAAGAATGCTGGAAGCATGGTGAACTGCCAGAAGAAGCTAAACTGCTTTGGAAAAAGTCCAGCTAGAAACTTCTTAGAAGTGAAGACGGTGAAACTTGGTCTCAAGTACATCAGGAGAGCCCAGTCCCCGGAAAAGGATATATCATGCTTGGTAAAGTAGTGGATCTGTGAAACAGAGGGAGGCTGTCGAGGAAACCGTTGACACCATGTCTTCAACCATGGGCTCCAACATCACGGTGACTGTGAGGACGGTGCCGGACCAGGGAATGCTCTGTTGGGCATCGGGGTGCTAGGAGTCAGAAGTGCCGAGGTGGCACTGGAAAACCATGCTCTTACTGTGCTGACTCATAGGGCATGAAACACTGCCCGGTCCTGTGTCTTACTCACAATTGTGCTTATGTTTAAGGCCATCATGCAGCCACTGTGTCAATGCATCATGACGAAGGGCTTCTTCTTAAAGCCCCATTACTTTGCCAAGCATGCCAGCTTTCCCCAAGGACTGGTCTCTCTTGACAATACGTCCAAAGTACTTGAGACAAAAGCCTCACCCTCGCCTCTAAGTAACATTCTGGTGGGACTTTTCCAAGGCAGATGTGTTTGGTTTCTTGGCACTTCCAATATTCTTCACCTCCCTGACAATGTTTTGATTCGGTCCATTAAGTTTTCCATAGCTCTTCCCTTAGAAGTGTCCATCTCATTCCTTCTTCACAGTCTGTTCTTGCTCTAGAAGCTCTGCTGAAGCCTGTTCACAATGAGTGACCCTGCTGGCATTTGACATGCTAGTGGCAAAACATGACAGCAGCACACAAGCCACCACCGTATGACAAGTTGACAGACAATTGGGGGAACAACAACTGTGATTAAAACAAAAAAAGGTAGTGTATGCATTGTGCTGCTAACCCCAAGGTCAGTGGTTTGAAGCCATCAGCCCCTCCACTGGAGAAAGAGGCACCAGTTGGCTTCCATAAAATGCAGAAATTCCACGGGGCAGTTTTATACGTCCTGTACCATCACCATGAGATAGAATTAACTTGACAGCAGTGGTTTTAAAAATCTTTTTCTTTTCGATTTTGGTATAGTGCGTCAGTATACATACCTTGAAAATGTTGAAAGTAAAATTAATTTCTATGATTCCATTCTAAAATGACAACCTGTCTCTCCTGCTTCCAGGTGAAATGTTAGAAGCATTGGACACCTCTGGCCCTGCTAGTCTTCCGTGAGATAATCCCTCACAGAAAGAAGCTTTCTCTATCCTCACAGAGGTTTCTAAGTTCTACAGGCCTCTCTCATCAAGGGCAAAGCAGGTAAAGTTTCAGTTTCACAAAGAAAAGCAAAAGGTGGCATTTACCATAATGGAGAGTGAGAGCCGTAAGGGCCCCCAGGAGAGCCTCCTGTCATCCCAGAGTGGGAAATCTACCATGAAGGACAATCATCAATTGATCCTGGCTGCTCGAACAGGAGATGTGGAGAAGGCCCAACAATTGCTAGAAAGGGGGGCTGATGTCAACTTCCAGGACGAATGGGGCTGGGCGCCCTTACACAACGCTGTGCAGAACGGCAAGGAGAACCTTGTGGACCTTCTGCTGCTCCACGGCGCCGACCCTCGTCTCAGGAAGCGCAATGGGGCCACGCCCTTCATCCTTGCTGGGATTGCGGGCCATGTGAACCTGCTCCAGCGTTTCCTCTCTTTTAAAGGATCAGACGTCAATGAGTGTGACTTCAACGGCTTCACGGCTTTCATGGAAGCTGCTGCCTATGGTAAAATCGAAGCGTTAAGGTTCCTGCACGAAAGAGGAGCGGACGTGAACTTGCGCCGAAACCCAAAGGAGGAGCAAAAGAAGCTGCGGAAAGGAGGGGCCACGGCTCTCATGGATGCTGCGGAAAAAGGCCAGGTGGACGCCTTGACCATCCTCCTGGACGAGATGGACGCAGATGTCAACGTCCGCGACAACCTGGGCAGAAACGCCTTGGTCCACGCGCTCTTGCGCTCTCGCGACGGGAAGCTGAGCGCCACCACCGGTAAGGCCATCACCCGCGTGCTGCTGGACCGCGGGGCGGACGTCAGGGTGAGGGGCGAAGGAAGGAAAACGCCCCTGATCCTGGCGGTGGAAGCCAAGGACGTGGACTTGGTGCGGCTGCTTCTGGATCAAGAGCGAATCGAAAAGAACGAGACGGACAGCGAAGGGCAGACGGCTCTGATGATGGCCGTGCGCCTGGGCCTGGGGGACACGGCCCGCTTGCTGTGCGCGCGCGGGGCCAGCGTGCACTGTGGGCCTCTGGTGATGGAGGCCCTGCGGAATCACGACAGTTCTCTGGCAGAGTTTCTGCGCAGTCAGGGCGCCACCGAGGACGTCCCGGTCCCTGCGGAGGACTGGCAACCTCAGAGTCCACGTTGGAGGGCCGCCCTGGAAAAACTCCACAGGATACACCGCCCGATGATCGGCAAACTCAAGATCTTTATCGTGGACGAGTACAAAATTGCTGACACCTCCGAAGGGGGCGTCTACCTGGGTTTGTACCAGGAGCAGGAGGCCGCTGTGAAGCGGTTCCGCGAGGAGAGCCCACAGGCTGAGAAGGAACTCCTGTGCCTGAAAGACATCCGGTGGAACAGTCACTTGGTGACATTCTGTGGGAGCGAGAGCCAAGGGGGTTGTGTGTACGTGTGCCTCGCCCTCTGTGAGCGAACGCTGCAGGAGCACTTTGCTCTGCCCAGCGAGGAAGCCGCTGCAGAACACGACGACCACCAGGAAGATGAGTTTGCCAGGAATGCCCTGCTGTCTGTATTTAAAGCTCTTGAAGAACTACACCAGGTGTACGCCCACCAGGATCTGCACCCACAAAACATCTTACTAGGTGAGTCCCCAGTACCCATCCTTCCTTAGATGGTTCTGGGCTTTTGGTTTACAAAAGAAATGTTTCGCTGCAGTTAGGAAAAAGCTAAAGGAAAAATTCACATGTAGATTATACCATTTCCAGACGACAGCAACAACTTGTTCAGGGCAATGTCTCTTGGCTACCAGTTATCACTGGGTTTCCATAGTCCATACGAAGGTGGGTGGAGTGCCAGGCTCACCTTATATTTCCCTGGGCAAAATAGAAATAGGAAGGTGTTTCACATTTGGAGAATGCAGACAGTTCCAGAAGTTTGGATTCCTAGAGTAGTCTGCAAGCCAGAGAGAGACTTCTAAAGGTGGGTTCCTACATGAAGCTCGGTGGCAAACCTGAAGTCAGATTTGGAGGTGTCTGGGGATGATTCTAATGTTCTCTATCTTAAAATGACAATGAGGTATCTAAAATGAACCAGAGACATATGCACACCATAGATATGTGAATGGATTTGGGGCTCGCACTTAATTCTAGCTCCAATATAAGAACAATTAGTTCTTATGACATGGCCCTGCTTGATACTTGCCCTCATGACGAGATCAGTGAAGATATGGGTGCTACAGCAAAGTGTGCTGAAGAAACCAGACGGTGCTCGGCTATCAGAATAGCATCTGAGGTCTTAAAGGCTTGTCTTCAAACAAGCAGTCATGTAAGTTAGGTATCAACTAAGTCCACATGGAAGAAGCACACCAGCCCATGTGATCCAAGGATTGTAAATAATAAAATCCAAATCTGAAGAAGGGAATGATATCAGAGATTAAATTGTGAACACTGGGTTTGCAGAACACTATGGATGACACTGGAAGCCCCAAATCCATTTGCATAAAGACAGTAATTGGATTGATAATTTGCCTAGGGGCAAGTCAGGGAAGGCTAGGAGGCAACGGAGAGCTAACAAAATGAATCTGAGAAGAAATGTAGCCGACCTGGCGATCTGGTGATCTGTTCCTGTAAAGATTATAGCCTAGGCATGGTCAATAGTTCAAACCCACTAGTAGTTTCTTAGAAGAAAGACTGGGCTTTCTACTGCAGTTACAGCAGCAGTTCTCAACCTGTGGGTCGCGACCCCATTGGGGATTGAACAAAACGACCCTTTCACAGGGATCGCCTAAGACCATCAGAAAACACATATTTCTGATGGTCTTAGGAACTGAGACACGGCTCCTCTCTCCGTCTCCAGGTGGGTCTGCCCACATGAAGATATGCTGATCTGGTGAGAAAGAAGCTATCTCAACCTTCGCACTGACATTGGCATTTTATGCATACTGTCGCAACATGTAGCAATGTAGGTTACTGTTGTAATTATGTTAAGACTGTTATCAATGCTACACCATGCTTCAAGGCAAATTTCATTTATTTGTATTTAGAAATACATATTTCACAATATATAATTACATATTGTATTTGATTAATCACTATGCTTTAATTATGTTCAATTTGTAACAATGAAAACACATCCTGCATATCAGATATTTACATGACAATTCCTAACAGTAGCAAAATGACAGTGATGAAGTAGCAATGTAAATCATGTTATGGTTGGGGGTCACCACCACACGAGGCACGTATGAAAGGGTGGTGGCATTAGGAAGGTTGAGAACCGCTGAGTTACAGTCTCAGAAACCCAAAGGGGTGGCTTTGCGTCAGTGCTGACTGGATGGAAGTGAGTTTGGAGTTTGAGTTCACCCTCTGGGGCAGGTCTACTCTGTCACACAGAGTTGCTATGAGTCAGAATTGACTCAAGAGCAGGAACAAAAAACTTTCAAAGGCTGTGTTGAGATCCAAATGCAGACGGATCATCTGGGACACCAGAGGTGCCCAGCCAAAGTCTGAAGTCTAACCAGAAGCAGATAGCTGGCATATTAGTCATACATTGAGATTTAAGTTTGGTGGAAGAATATAGGGGAACAGGAGGGTTCAGCTATTGAGAGGCAAAGAGAATGGTATTTGAAGGCCTGGAATAGAGAAGCGGATAAAAGCATTCAACTGCTCTTGCATGCTGTCGACTGGACTCCCACTCATAGCAAGCGTATGTGACAGAGAGCAGTAGCCCTGTAGGGTCTCCTGGGCTGAAATCGCTATGGGAGCAGGTTGCCAAGTCTTTCCTCTTGTGGAACTGCTGGTGGGTTTGAATTGCTGATTTGGGGTTAGCTGTCGAGTGCCTAACCAATGTGCCACCAGCACTCCTTCAGAAGACAATTAGGATCTGGTGGATAATTTGGAGATCCTTTTGAGAAGCTCTGTCCTGGTTTGTAGCTGCTTGGCTGGGGGATTGGCCAAAACACGAAGATGTGTGCAGCTCTCTCAAGTGAGACTCAGTCAAAGAGCAGATTCTTCTCAGGTCTGAACTGCTGACCTTGATGTAAGTGTTTCGTATAACATCATCTAAAAAGTGGATTGACTTGTGCATTCCCCCTTGCTCAGAATTTCTAGTGCCATCTCTGCTATTCTTAATTAGTTAACATAGCATCAGTTCGGGCCCATAGTGACCTCCTGTGGTGAAGAATAGATCTAGTCTCTATAGAGGTTTCAATGACCGTGATCTGTCCGAATTAGATCTTTCTTTCAAGATTCCTCTGGGCGATTCAGATAGCTAATTTTTCAGTGAGTGGCCAAGAGCTTACTCTCTGGCACCACCCAAGGTCTTCTAAGGATTGCTCCCTCAGTGGAAAGGCGGCAGATCACACCCCGTGCAACCCTTCTTTCCTAGGGGCCACGAATAGAGCATGGGGTTGTCACTCCACGCAGGACCACTGATTGGGACATCAAGCGGTTGGTGATCCCAAGAAAGATAAAGTCAAATGTCTAAACCAGAAGACTGCTTGGCAAGGCACCTTGCTAAATGACAGGTACTGCTTATTCCCCGAATAGCCGCCCTGAAAAGAGTAGAAATTCTGGAAATTGCTTCCATCCCCTCCCTATGGTGGGCTGGATGACACAGATGCAACTCAAAGGGCATCGGGGATTCTCAGCTGCAAAGATGGTCTTACAGTTATTGGGGGAGTGAAGACTCCATGAAAAAGATGTATAGAACAAAGGAAATTACACCCAAAGAAACAGAGCTGGCTCTCTGCTCCTCCTTGTGCGACAGGCAGCCGCTTCTTCCCTTCCTGTGCAGTCCCAGCCTCATCCCAGAGACACCATGGTGAAGGTCAGAGCGAACGGATTCGGCCCGCATTGGGCGCCTGGTCACCAGGGCTGCTTTCCACTCTGGCAAAGTGGAGATTGTTGCCATCAATAACCCCTACATTGATCTGAACTACATGGTCTACATGCTCCAGTATGATTCCACCCACGGCAAGTTCAGTGGCACCATCAAGGCTGAGAATGGGAAGATTTTCGTCAACGGGAAGGCCATCTGCATCTCCCAGGAGTGATATCCCGCCAACATCAAGTGGGGTGAGGCTGGGGATGAGTATGTTGTGGAGTCCACTGGTGTCTTCAAAACCCTAGAGAAGGCTGGGACTCACTTGGAGGGCAGTGCCAAAAGGGTGATCATCTTTGTGATGGGCATGAACCACAAGAAGTATGACAACTCCTTCAAGATTGCCAGCAATGCCTCCTACACCACCAACTGCTTAGCCCCCCTAGCCAAGGTCATCCATCACAATTTTGGCACCGTGGAAGGACTCATGACCACAGTCCATGCCATCACTGCCACCCAGAAGACCATGGACGGCCCCTCTGGGAAACTGATGTGATGGCCATGGGGCAGTCCAGAACGTCATCCCTGCATCTACTGGCACCGCCAAGGCTGTGGGCAAGGTTATCCCGGAGCTGAATGGGAAACTCACCGGCATGGCCTTCATGTCCCCATCCCCAATGTGTCCATCCTGGATCTCACCTGCCATCTGGAGAAAGCTGCCAAGTATGATGACATCAACAAGGTGGTGAAGCAGGCGGCCGATGGTCCCCTCAAGGGCATCCTGGGCTACACTGAGGACCAGGTTGTCTCCTGTGACTTCAATAGTGACCCCCACTCTTCCACCTTTGATGCTGGGGCTCGCATTGCCCTCAACGACCACTTGTCAAGCTCATTTCCTGGTATGACAATGAATCTGGCTACAGCAACAGGGTGGTGGACCTCCTGGTCCACATGTCCTCCAAGGAGTAAGAGCCCCCCTGGACCACCAGCCCCAGCAACAGCACTAGAGGAAGAGAGGTCCTCAGCTGCTAGGGAGCCTTTGCCCCCAACTCAATCCCCCAACACACTGAGAATATTCCATCCAGACCCCCTGAAGGAAGGGGAGGGGCTTAGCAAGTTTTGTCATGTACCATCAATAAAGTACACTGTACCCAGAAGACAAAAAGAAACAGAGCTAACCAAGATACCACAACACACATATAAAGAAAATACAATGAATAAAACCAGAGAATAAAGACAGGCTATTATACCCCAAACCCCAAACAAATAGCACTGTGTAAGGAAGTTTAGTATTGGAAAATATACTTGTTTAAATACATTTTTAAAAATCTTCGATAGTGGCTTAAACATTAAGTTATTGAGCTAGAAGATTATCTTGAAACATCCTCTGAGGACATAGCAGAAAAAATGTAAGGAGATGGAAAGCATAAAAAATAAATTTTGACTCATGAAGGCTAGATCCAGACATTCCAACAGTCATCCATTAGGCATCCCAGAGGGGAGAGAGAGAGCAATATAAAAAATTGTAAAAACAGAATTTTTAAGAAGTGAAGTCAGATACCAATGGAAAGGACTTGCCAAGAGCCAAGAAGGACAATTAAGGAAAAACACATTGACCCACATCAGAAAGGGGTCTCAAAGCAACAATAAAAAAAGCAGAACTCAAAAGCTACCAGTAAATCAATCCACGTAGCCTTGCTTCTCAGAGTTGTTCAAGCCAGAAGCATTTACAGGACAAAGCACCCACTTGTCCCTCCTTTACCTTGTCCTTGTTCCTGACCCCTGGCCCCAGAAACTCTCTCAGCCTCTCATCTATGCAGCCTTCTCTCTGAGGATTCACCGGCTTCCTTCAAGGAGGGAAAGATTCAAAGGTAGGCACGAAGTGGACAAGGAAGCAACGACCGAGTACAATGGTGGTCTGTGGTGGGTGGGCTCCCTTGGGTGGGATACTCTGCTAAGTTGGTCTTGGGTTGTTGTACTTAAGCCATAGTATATGTATATCCCTCATTCTTGTCAGCTCCTTTATGCATCTGTATAAACCCTAGAGATTTCCTGAATGATCTGGTTTAATTTATCCTATTCCTGTTCACCCAGCCCCAACCCTCTGGCACGAAAGAAATAAGAAAGAGTGCTCTTAGCAGGACCCTAATAACTTGGTGTATTTAGCAGTGTTTTGAGGAGTAACGAGCATTAGAGATATAAACTTTAGAGATGACAGGTGGCACTTTGTTTTATAAATTTATTTAAATTAATTGACCCACAGCATGGAGAATCAGGATTTTTAATACACCTCTGTAAACTATCCCTTAGATTCTAAGAATGACGTTCGGTTGGCAGACTTTGACAAAAGCATCAAGCGAACTGGAGATCCACAGGAAATTGAAAAAGATTTACAGGTAATTCCTAAAATCTGGTTTACTTTTCCTCTTTCTGCTTCCTCCCTTATTTGTTCGTTACCTTATTTCCTACAGCCTATGAGAAAGTCTTCCTATTTTCATCAGGAAATCTCTTTCTTGTTTCAACCATGAATTTAGGCTTTGGGATGCCGGATCTAGTCCCAAAGCAGTTCAAGTGTGTCCAATCAGAGATACTTCAAATTTATCCCTGGACCAACACAGGCTTATGTTGCCTTTTCTTTCATTTATCAGCATAGAAATTGAAGTTTAAAACAACAACTTCCTAATTATAAAAGGGATGAGGACGGCGGTAGTTCAGTGGTAGAATTCTTATCGCCCAGAAGGGAGGACCAGGTTTAATTTCTGAACATTATACCTTCTGGGCAGCCACCACGTATCTGTGGGCGGAAGCATTCCATGCTGCTACGATGCTCGACACGTTTTCAGACTTAGATAGATGAGGCAGAAGGTCCTGATGATCTACTTTTGAAAAAATAACCCATAAAAATCCTATGGATCACAGCAGTCCTGCTCCATGGCGCACGGGATCCCCAGAGAAGAACAATAGGAAAAACCGTCAAATTACTTGTCGGTGTCTTGGGAGGTTGGACTGCTAACCACAAGGTCATCAGTTCAAACCCACCAGCAGCTCTGTGGGAGAGAACTGAGGCTGTCTGCTCCTGTAAAGATTACAGTCTCAGAAAGCTTATACTAGGGATTTAGTTGTGGGTTCAAAGCTTTCTCCAGTTTTGGTCACTGCCCTCACCCCCTTGCAGAAAATAGCACGTCACTGGACCTTTCCCTGAAAGTCAAACTTTCACTGTGGAGAGGAGTTGGTTTGTGCCTGAATCTGTGTGGAGTTGGCTGTCGCTTGCCCTTCTGTATCTCTTGGCATCTTCTGCTTCCTCCACTAGCTAGCTGAGCAAGCTGAGCGCGCCACACTAGACCCTTCTCCATGAGTTATGTTATGCCTCAGGAGAAAGTAAATGGGAGGATTGCTCTTGCTACTCCCATCAGATTTGCGGTTGAGCTCAGAAGGGGCTAAATACTGAGGTCCATTGAAAACATGTGGGAGGGAGGGAGCCAGCACCCAGCTTGACCAAAAGTTCCCCATTGACAAGTGCTCTCCTTCCTGGGTTTATACTCCTTCCTCCACCACCTTTAATTCTTGGCCCTCGTGGCTCAGTGGCTTCAGATGTCAGCTCCTTTGCTGGCTGGGTCTTGACTAGTGTAGAGTTCCTGGGCTGGCCTCTGCCTTTCCACCCCATCCTGGCCTGACTCCTGGGCCATCACTGTATCTTCCCTCGGACCGTGATGTGGACTGGTTGCCTGATACAGCCTGGTCATCTGCTGCCTGATACAGCCTTGCATTCCACACTTCCCCTGTTTATTTAAATTCTATCCATACGTTAAGGCCCACCTCACATCCCACTTCTTTTCTGTAACTCTAGCCCAGGACTACCTTTTGCTGCCCCCAGACATAAATTGTGGGATTGTATACTACCTTGAAGAGTTCTCCCTACGCTCCAAGACCCTTTGTGTCTGCTCTTCTTCCTAAGTCTTCAGACTCCTTGAGATTCTTCTCATCGTCTTTGATTTGTAGCCTGCACCACACCCTCCTAGCTCACTTGCCCAGAGGACACCCTCAAGCACCTGTGACATGACCTGTGTCTCCCGTGCAGGCCCTGGGCCGGCTGGTCCTGTATGTGGTCAAGAAGGGAGGCGTTCATTTTAAGGAGCTGGAGATCCAAAGCGATGAAGAGGTGTTTCAACGCTGTCCGGACGAGGAGAGTAGGGATCTCATTCGCCGCCTGCTTTGCCCTGGGGAAAACCAGCAGAGGCAACTGAGGAGCCTGCTGGACCACCCCTTCTTTTGGAGTTGGAAGAGGTAAGTGGGCTTCAAGGAGAAGGTGGTGGGGGCAGGGGTGATGTTGCTGCAGGGACTCGGTACAGCTCGCCTTTCCTCTCCAGGTGGAGCTTCCTAGCTGTGTGCCTTCGGAGCGCTTATTTCACTTGACTACCTTTGGGTGTTCTCTTCTGAAAAATAGGGAAACGATCCAGAGATTTTGAAAACATAGGGCTTCTAGGTTTTGTCTTTCAGACTGCGGTAAAAAATATAGAAGATACAATTTCCCATTACCATTTGAAGCTCATGATTGGGCGGCATGAGTTATTGCCCATGTTGTACAGTGGTCACCACAGTTTCCAAAACATTCTCCTCACTGCAGACCGAAGCTCGGCAGCCATACACTCTCCCTCCTCATGTCCCCGTCCTCCCAGCCCACGGGAACCCTGCCCTCGACAGCACGCGCTCTCTCAGGTGTTTGCCCAGCCTGGCCCAGTGATGGAAGTGGGAAGCCTGCAATGTTCACCCTCTGTGCCTGACCTCCTCCACCCGGCTCTTTTTTCAAGGTTTACCCAGGCCATAGCATGCATCCGAATTTAATTGATCTTTAAGGCTGAATGATATTTATTCATCCTGAAGTTTATTTATTCATCCATCCATTGATGGCCACTTGGGCGGTTTCCACCGTTTGACTCTTGGGAACAGGGCATCAATGAACATGGTGTCAACCTCTGACCTTGGGTTGAGCCCCACTTTTGATTCTTGTGATCGAGCAGTGCAGTTGCTGGGCTCTGGAGTTAGCTTTTGAGGAACCAAGCTTTTCCACCATGGCTGTACCGTTTGACAATGCCTGCCAGAATGGATGGGACTTCCAATTTCTCCATTTGCTCCTCAACACGTTACTTCCCATTTGTCTCCTAAGAACCATTCTTGTGAGTGTGAGGTGGTATCTCATCGTGGTTTTAATCACACTTGCCTTAAGACTAATGCCGTGGAGCATGTTTTTCATGTGCTCATTGTGGGGAAGTTGAGGCTTTCTTCTCCCGTGAAAAGCCACAGTCTCTCCAAGGCCAAGGGTGCCGACAGCCCCTGAAAGCTGGAAGAAGCCAAGAGAGGATTCTCCGCTCCACCGTCTAGAGGGAGTACAGCCCTGGCTTCAGACTTCCGGCCCCAAACCGTGACAGAATTGTACGTGTTGTTTTAGGCCACCGTGTTTGTGGTGGCCATAAGAAATCAAAACACCTACTGAAATCAGAATACATGTTCTTAAGAATGGAGAAAAACGAAAAGTTCAGTCTCAGACACCCAAGGGGCACTTCCACCCTGTCTTATAGGTAGGTATGAGTTGGAATCGACTAGAGGGCAGTGAGTTTTTAAAATTATTGGCCATTTGTATATACTCTTTGGAGAAATATCTATTCAAGCCTTTGCCTTATTTTCAGGGGGCCAGAAGAGTGGTTTTACTACTAACTTTATTAAAAATAAAAACAGGGCAGTTTCTTTTTGGAAAAGCGGGAGTGATCGCAATAATTCTGTCATCCTTAGACGCTACAGGACTCTCCGTGATGTGGGAAATATATCGGACATCAAAGTGCAAAAGACGGAAAGCCACATCCTGCAGCTACTGGAGCCAGGGCCATCTGAACAGGCGACAAGTTTTGCTAACTGGACTGCTGAGGTAGGAAAAATTCCTATGGCCTGGGGGTTATTCCAGAAATAAGAATCTGTTTAACAGGCTCATTACATCTTCCAACAAGTGGCTCTAAATGTTTATGTGCATTTTCCTTTTCAACTCGTCTTATTTCTTGGGCTGGGCACTTAGTGATATTCCTTCCCTCCCTTCCCATCCCAGGCCCCCTTTGTTCTTTTTTTGCAATTTGTTGTTGTTATGTGTTGTTGAGTTCTGGCAGCCTTAGTGTTAAACAGAAACAAGCACTGCTGGTCTCGCATCATTCTCATAATTGTCTTTTTTTTTATCATTTTACTGGGGGCTCGTACAACTCTATCACAGTCCATATATCCATCCATTGTGTCAAGCACATTTGTACATTTGTTGCCCTCATCATTCTCAAAACATTCACTTTCCACTTCAGCCCCTGGTATCAGCTCTCAATTTTCCTCCTCCCTCCCCCCTCTCCCCTCCCTCATGAACCCTTGATAATTCATAAATTATTATTTTATCATATCTTACACTGACCGACATTTCCCTTAGCCCACTTTTCTGTTGCCCAGCCCCCAGGTAGGAGGTTATATGTGGTTATATATCCTTGTAATCAGTTCCCCCTTTCCACCCCACCTTCCCTCCACCCTCCTGGTATCGCCACTCTCAGCACTGGTCCTGAAAGGATCATCTGTCCTGGATTCCCTGTGTTTCCAGTTCCTAT